TTTCTTAACCATCGGTTACAGGGAGACCATACCAATCTACACACGGGGCTGCTGGGAGACTAAGTGAAGCGTGCACGGGAAGCGATCACAGTGCCGAGCACAATGGACTGTTCGCGAACGGGTACCATTTAGTGCCAGCCTCCCCCATAGGGACACCTCCTGCATGGAGCCCAGGTCTGCACTTGGAGAATCCAGGTGAGTGAAGGTTACCTGTCTGCTGGCCTGGGCCCCACTGACTACATCAGAACCCCCAATCCTCCAGGAGATCTTGCTCCCTCCCCGGCCTTCCTGGGAGGCTACAGCCCCACCTGAGCACCCCCGCTACACTCTGCACGCCTCCCTTTGCATCTCCCTTGCTGTGTCCCAGAGCTTGTCCCCTTCAGACGGCGAGCTCTGGCGGGGGGACCACCTCAGGGTTCCTGTTCACTCTCTACCGCACACACCATACTGCCCAGGCTCCCAAGCGGGAGGCCAGTGCTGGAGGAACATTCTGAGGCCTGCAGAAGCCAGCTGCGGACTCTCTTCCTTCACAGCTGACACATCAGAGAGCTGTACTTTTATGAGATACTGGGATGGAGATGGATGATTTGTCCAGGACGTTTGAGCTTGAGTCAGAAGGATCTTAGAGGGGAGTTCACTGGTGGAACGAGGCCTGGGACTAAGTGCCAGGGCTGACACTTTCAACTGGCACCAGACAGGACTGTAGCCAAGGGAAAGCAGACCCAAGGCCCAGGGGCAGGGACAAGGAAAGATGAGAAATATCAAAACACAGGCTATCCAGGTTTCTGCGGAAGACAGAGCTCAAAGGAAAGGACTGGATCAGTTCCATTGCCCTTTGGCAAACAGTGGGAGTAGCTGCGTCTTCTGGATGTGGATTTGCAGTCCCCGTCCATAATGCTTTCCCCAGCACAACCATCCGTGGATTGATGGAATGCCCTATTTACCAGCATGGCATTCTACATAGTACTTCTAATCAAAGAACCTTATTTAACAGCAAATGAAGTCAGGCAATGGCCTTGCGATCACGTAACTCACAGGCTTTACCACATCCCTCACCACACAGAAGTGCTGGATAGAGTGACGTGGCCTATTGGAGACTCAGCTATGATGCCGAGGGGAGACAGTACCCCGAAAGGGCAGAGTTCTACCTTAAAGGCTGCAGTATATGCTTTGCATGAATCTACTCTCCTGTAGCCAGAATTTGTGGGTCCAGGAATCAACGGATGGATAGAGGCGGGAGTGGTTCCTCTCACCAGTCCACTCATGGTGGCTCTGCTGGCTTGAAGGGCTTGGTTTCCAAAGGAATAATGTTTCCACCAGGAAACACAGCAATGCCTTCACTGGGTTGCAAACTGAGGCTCACCTGGCTATTTTGGGCTCATCAGGACACTGAACCAACAAGCTGGTCGGGGGATGATTCTACTGCTAGGAATACTGCAGAGGGGAAACGTAGGTGCTGCTACATGACAGGGTTAGGGAGGACTGTGGCTGGAACCCAGAAAACCCTCTAGGTCCCTCTTAGAAATCACAATGATGAACGAAAAACTAAGAAAACCAAGGCAGGACAACTAATTCAGACCCTTTAGGAATAAAGGTTTGGATCAATGGTGCCAAAAAAGAATCCTAACCAGCTAAGATCCCAGTTGAGGGCAAAGGAAATGTAGACCAAGTAGTGGAAAAGGTGGTTATAAATATCAACTCCAGCCTCACAACAGACTCTGCGTATTCTTTCTAGATTGCTGTGCACGTACAACACACAACTTCCTTTTTGCTCCTTCTCAGGATTTCACGCAATGTCTGTTGGAAAGCTAACTTTACCGTTTCGTTTTTAGGTAGGTACCATTCTGTGCTTCTATATTTTATCCAGACGAGACTGACTGGATGGGAGGAATTGGCGTGGCCCAGAGATCCACACAGCAGTTGCTGGGCTTTACAGTTTCCTCAGTGTGGGACACAGTAAGTCCATCTTCTTACAATTAGCTGCATCTTGGGCACAAACAGTAGCTCTGGGGACAGTACTGAAGTTCAAATGAATGTAGAAGGCTGGGTATTGATGCTGGGTGGCTGCGGGGCAGGGCCGTACCAACTACTAAGCTCTTGTCTCAGCTTCACGCCCAGCATTTTAACTGCTTTGGTGAAACTGGCCACAGCTCTCTGCAAACCTTCCTGCTTTGCTGGGGGGCATCCCGTGGGATGCTCCAGCACTCCTTCCCGTTCCTACAGCATTACCCCTTTGCAGCAGTGGGAGGCACGTTCCCGGAGCTACAGCTCAATCCAGGGGCTCTCCATCGCCACCATGCTCAGCAGCAGCTCCTTCACGCCAAGCCCGCCAAGCCCACCAAATCCACCATCTCTGCAGACGCAACCAGCACCGGGGGAATGGCTTCCATCCTGAGGCAGCTCTTCCTGGAGCTGCTGCCTCCTTGATTCTTCCTTTCTTTTTGCCTTTTTACTTACTATGCCAAAAATCCTATCCTCTTGTTCAAATGACTTTCATGTGTTCTCTTGTCTCTCTGGACCATGACTTGACAGACACAGGAAGTTTCTGTCCATTTCTATTGAAATGGAGCGTCAGGTCTGCATTGTTTTAAATCCTTTATCAACTGAGGCCCTGTGATGTTTCTCTTTCCCTGGGTATTTCACATGGGCATTTGGGGACTTCTTCAAATTCTAATCCTTCAAATTTCCTTCCATTCCAATGGTCCTCACCCCATGCTGGGAATGAAAATGAACTGTATTTTGATATTAAAACTTTATACCAAAAAGAATTTTGGTAGTTTTGGGAGTTTTGGCAATGATTAACACCAACTGGAAAATATTTTTACAACACATTTATGTCAATGACACTGATGGAGCGGCCACAATTACCAGTATCCCCACTTTCCTGTATTAAAGAGTCCACAACTTGGTTCTTGCGGATATTTTCCATTTATTACTGCAGTAGACAATTGCTCTGAAAGTGCAACACCAAATCACTTTGTCACAGCCTCTGCTCCTCTGCTGACAAATTCTTGGAAGTTCATTCTTGGAGCACCGTGGACCACAAGCTTCTCTTGAGGTGGAAATTTATTGCCACTGCCAATGTCACAGGAAAAAAACCCACACACATGAATAGCAAGATCAAATGAGAAGAGCACTGGAGGGGAGGAGGGGCCAATTTCAAATGGAAAACCCAGCAGAGTGGTCATGGGGAAACAGCCCACCTGTGCAAAGTGTGGAAGGGGACACCCCATCTCCTGGCACCAACCTACATCAGAGAGGTCGGCCTGCCGTGCACCTTGCCCCACTTTGCCCCCAGAGTAGATTGATACCATTGCCACTGCTGTGCCATATGGCAGTGTAGCAGAGGCCCACAGGGTCAAAAAAAAAAAAAAATGAGAGGACCCCTCAAGCTAGTTTGGAAAATGGGTGGTTTGGCTAAATTGATTCCTCACCTCCCACTCTATAAACTGCTGGGTGAGCTCTGGGGGTAAATCACTCTTGTTCTAACCAGCAGAGGATCAGCATCTTTTGATGGGAAAAGATAACTTTCAAATACTGCAATGACAAGGAGGAAGGGAAACATGAGCAGCTCTAGAAAACACAAGAGATTTGAAAATCTGAATGAAAAAAAAAAAAAGAAAATCTGAATGAGACCAAAAAAAGAAAAAAAAGAAAAGCGCAAAAATATGAATGTGAACGATACACCTAAGCACTCAGCCTGGCTGAGCCCTCCCTCCTGAACGCATCATACACATACGCACCCGCTCGCACACACAACAGTCAGGTAGGTGCCCCACGGAGGGCAAATCCAAACGTCTGCTCTTTGGAATTCTCACGGCAAATCTTGAGTGTAGGCAAAAGTGAAGCCCTTCCTGGGGTCTAGACAAATACTCAGGAGGCACCTTTGCTCCCCATTTTAGCCAATGTTGCTCCTGTATTTGCCTGAGCCCTTCACAGTGGTCTGGGCACTACAATTCATTCTTCATACTCGTGGAGTTTAAATCACTGCTAGATCTTCTTAAGCGATCTAACATCACCTGTAATGGAAGCACCTCCCTTTTGGCTCCTGTACTCCCGTTCTTTTGGGAAAAAACATCCCAAGACAGTGGTAATTAGAAGGTGTTCAGGAGTTGGAAAATAGGAAGAGAGTAATATCAATACAGTAAGGAAATGCCTGTTACTCTCATATGACTTCTCTGAGACCAGGCAGCTACAGCCCTGGCCTTCGAGGATAGGTTTTAGGAGAGACCTTAATTTAAGGTACTGCGATCTTTGCTCACAAGAGCCAAGTAAGACAGTGCTCCTTGGAGGTTGCTGTAGGACTCGTACTTAGTACTTCTCTCAACCCTAGGTGCTCTTTTGACTTCTCTGACTTCAGTCCCTCTGGAGTCAGGTCACCCAGCTTCTCTGATGCATGACTGGTCATTTTGAAAGCGTGCTTGCAGTGGCCTATCAGGTTTCCGTCCAGGTATTATGGGTCGGCACACATTCACGAGTGTGTCTACCAGTTGATGAGGACCAAAAGCCGGTTTCCTCAGCCACTGCAGACAGGCACAGCCATGCAAAGAAAGCCACCCATCACGGTCACCTTTTCTTCAGATGCCCATTTCAGGATCTTAGAATTTACCACATTAAGTGTTAATACCGGGTGACAACAAGCTTTTGCTTCCTTTCCTCAATGAGGGTCATGCAAGAACCCACAGAAACAGGCTGGACACACAGGCCCTGCTCATCTGGTTGCAGACAATGCCCTCAGCTCCAAATCCTGCACTTGGAACCGCTATTATAACCTAGCTCCTAATCACACTGGATTCTGCTCCAGTTTCATTTACCAAGGCATACCTTCTAAGCCGCCTCAGTGAAACCAGTGTGGCCCACTGGATTAAAGTTCTAAGTGCAGCAGTGCCTAAGAAGAAAGAGTCCCACAGGAGGGAGGACTGGAGGGCATAAGGCAGGAGACTATACAAAATCAGTAATACATTTTCAGAAAATGGTGGGCTTGGGGGAAGAGAAATAAACAAGATGTCCCAATAGTTTAATGGCAGAGCTAGAAGAGAGCATTTATAGCTATTCCGGGACTCTCCAACAGAAAGCTTTTCCTGGATGCACAGACATTCATAATACTGATAACTCTCAGTCGACAGCTCTGGCTTGTACACGTGGTCACGATGCCCTCCATACAGCAGAGAAGAGCACAACAGAACGCCCGACAGGCATCTGACAGCACACAGCAAAACGAAAGGCTGAACTCCCCCCCGACAAAACCCCATTAAAAAAAAAAGTTTGTCTATTACAAAGTCACGTTTTCTGTTTTTCCGCTTTATAAAGTCAGCGATGCTGGAGGGTGTCTAGCGGAATCCGTCCTCCAGGAATGAGTGCAAAAGGGGAGCGCACGGCTCAGGGACGTCCCTTCAGTGAGCAGATGGAAGGACCAGCTGGAGACCAACCATCCATTTCGGACAAACACACATATACAGAAAAGGATTATTGCCAGCTTGTGTACTTTCACAATGTGATTTTTGTATTTCGAAAGCTTGAATTGTCCCTGAAAGAAAAAAATGGGAGAGAACAGAACATTCAATACACAGATCTTCTATAGGCAATGACACACATATGGGGCAGGGGCAGGAGGTAGGGGTGGAGATCTGAACTCAGCAGCTAATCTAATGCCAAAGTAGCAAACCACCTCCCAAGTCCCTTCAAACACTTCAACTCAACTACTTCCAAGAACCAAACACTAGAAACCCTAATACCTGGCAAAAGGGCACCAATTAAATATGATTATGGCACATTCACTCAATGGGACACTTGTGCAGCTTTAAAAAATAAGCCAAGGAAGCTCACCACTAATATGGAAAGCTATCCAAGAGAAACTGAGAAGGTACAGAATGGTCTATGTATATAGTACACTACCTATTGTGTAAGTGGGGGTTGGGGGAATAAGGTCATAGTTAATATTGCTTGTATGGGCATAAAATCTATAAATAAGGTCATCTTACAAGAAACCAACAATAACGGTTACATGGGGCAATGGAGGGGGCGGGGGGCACAGCAGAAACTGAGCAGATGGAGTTAGAGTGGGAAGGAAACGCCTTTTTTCTCACACGCACAATGCACACACACACTTAAAATCAAATGATGTGATTTTTTCATGTATTCAAAAAAATCAACTAAACAACTGAAAACCTCTTGGTTGAAAACTTATAGCTCCTTATAAAAGGATATTCTACGAGGTGAAATCTGAGTACCACATACTTTAGACACTTAGCTGTAATTCTTGAAAGAGAAGCATGTATGTATGCAATACATGGTAATAAGACATGTCCTCTTAGTTGCCTTCTATTGGATGTGGAGAGGCTTGGCCACCGACCAGAAACCTTTCCTGTTCCACACTGGATATTCAACAGCATCTTAGCAGTTTCACACTGCCATTTGAATCCCACAATCTCAGGGCTGGAAAGGGCTTTAAAGGTCACCTCAACTGCTGTTCTAGCTCAGAAGTTGACTTTAAAGTACCCGAAATTCTAAAACAGAAATTCTTATTAATCTGATTTTTGAGTCATTATTTCCCTTTAGTTTTAATGGGGTATTTTAGAAGCTTTAGCTTTAACTGACCCATCTTTAAATTGCTACAATTTATTGGGGGTATGGCTATTGGTCCAGAATAAATATGAAAGAATATGCTTAGTCTAGACAAATAGCAGTTTCCAGTCAGCAACTGGCTAACAGATTCTCCTCCATGACAGCGGCAGGCGGCCCATAAATAACAGCCCTCAATACACAAAGAGAATGACTATTAAACAAGTAGACTAAGAGGGGAACCAGAGCTGGTATAGGTGAACTGGGAAGAAACTGAGGTTATCTCAACACCCACTAGTATTTTTATAACCGACAGTCATGACCATGGAGCTCATTTATCAATGGCTATTGAGCATTTTGATGATTTCCACCTAAGGAGGTAGAGACCAAACACAAAGAAAAACTTAATGGGGTGATCATCTTTTAAAAAGGACTTTCAAAAGGACAGATCCCACTGAGGTGCCACAAGTAGCTAGCAAGGGATGAGTAAGAACGTATCCGATCATAAAACAGAAAAAAAAAGCCGGCGTAACTGCTGTGTGAGATTTCTGAGTCCCCTTGGGGATGATGTACTACTGAGACTGCATGTCTGAGAACCCCTCTAAAGTGATTAGGAAGGAATGGTTTGCTCTGTTCCATTTCTTCCCTTATGTTGCCACGTCTATCTCCACAGAGCAACCAGATCACAAAAGTCAATCAGCAGGGAGAAATAAAATGAGTAAATAGAAAGGCAGGGTGTGGGACAGTAGAATCACAGAATTTTCTGACTGTGGGAGAATGATCTATTTGGGAATAAGAGAGCTGGCAAGCAAGTGTCTCACCCTAGCCCTTTCATCTGTTCAGTGATGGAGGAGAGAGCTTTCCAGACAAGTCATCACTGTAAGCAGGTCACCTTTATCTTTTGGAAGAGTCCCTGTACTGTGCTGGGGTTGGGCCACAAATTCTCTCTGTGGCAGGTAAAGTAAACTGAAGAGCCTATAATACTTTCCCATCCAGATATTTAGTATTTATTCTAAATATTTCTGTTGTCTTAGATCTCTTCATGGTCAGAAAATCTAAGGAGTCACAATTACTCTAAGGTTTATTTGTAACGTGAAAAGGAGAGAAGAGTAAGGAGCCAGGAAAATCGAGCTGAGCTTCTCAGAGTCTGATATAAAGGAAAACAAAGAGCAATGAGAATGGGTGACAAGCTCCTGACAATGACAGGCTGCTGGCAGCTGGTGGCTCTGGTCCAGCTTAAAAGAAAAAAAAAAAAAAAAGGGAGCTGAGAACAACTCACTGCGAAATTCACTCTGAGGAATGTGTTCACCTCAGACCAGCTGAGAACTAATCCACAGGTCAGTCCCTTGCCCCCGGCTACAGTGCCAGAGATTAGGATACAGAGAAAGGAAGGAGAAAGACAGGAAGTAGCAGAGGTCACAGGCAACTTTAAGTATTTTTTAAAAAGATGGGCTTCTGTTCTTTTAAAAGCAAACTATAATTTAGAAAACCCAGAGTGAGTTCCTAAAAGCTAACCCCTCTAGCTACCTAGCAATGCTGTGAGGGTGCACTGGTGACTGGGAAGGACTTTCTGGTGTTTCCGTTTTTTCAATGGTACAACAGATCTTTTAGAAGGAAATAAGAACATTGTTACACCCTCATCTGCGAATTTATGTAAAATAAGCAGCTGGGACTGGGTCCAGGGTATTGATTTAAAGGGGCTTTTCAGACATCAGTTTTTCCACTCTATCTTCATTTACTCCCAAAGATTTTACCCCCCAGGACACAGGAGCTAAAAGACCTACAGGGCTAGAGAAATCAGAAAGACCTTCTCTACTGCAGGACTCTTTCTTTGTCCTGGTCGTGGGGGCTCATGAATACCAGCGTCCCATCTAGACTGCCTTCCAACTTCAAGTTTCTAGGCATTTTGGGCAAAAGGACTGCCCAAATACTCTGAAACAGCTTTCTAATCTACTCTGCCTCAAAATAATCACCTTTCTTGTCCTTCTAAAGAAAAGGACACGTTCCAACTCTGGGAAGAATATGCTGAGGTAGAGGTTGGCTCCTGAGTGTGGACAACATAGGAGAAGGTGGTTGGTTGGTTCCTCAAAGGAATGCCTCTCTGTTCTGGCAGGAAGGTGTCCCTGTGCTAGTGCCTAGCAGGGGCGGCACAGTGGTTCTGGGGCCTCCAGGGAAAACTGGGAGCAGAGCCACTGACTAGGAACCCTAGTGGACTCTCCTCTGGATGGGGATGTGAGGGTACGCTCACAATTCAGCCTATAGGCTTAAGTACACACAGCCTTCAGAGGAACATTCTCTGGCTGTCAGCTGTCCAACCCAGGCCAGCTCTGGCTTCCTCCTCTCTCTCTCACTGCATATGAAATAAAACTACAAACCCCTCCTGGTTCAATGGAGGCAAGTTTCAATCTCTAATCTCCCACTGAGTGCCAACTTCATTCCCCAAATAACAGATCACTGCTCTGTGCATGTCAGCCCAGGCATAGAAGTAACCCTAAATCCTCCCCAGTAGCTAATTGGGACTTCTACTGAAGCCACGGTTAAAAGGGCAATACTGATTTGTAATGCAGATCAAATGAAACAGTTCTAGAACACTAGCAGCTATATGTAATAGCATAAAATATCAGATAAACTGAGAAGTATTTGTGGTTCAAGAATTACTTAAAAAAAATTACTTGGGGTACGTTGGTGGCTCAGTGGTTGAGCGTAGGCCTTTGGCTCAGGTTGTGATCCCGGGGTCCTGGGATCGAGTCCCACATCAGGCTCCCCGTAGGGACCCTGCTTCTCCCTCTGCCTAGGTCTCTGTCTCTGTGTGTCTCTCATGAATAAATTAATAAGTAAATCTTTAAAAAAAATTTTTAATTACTTAAATAGTTTTTATTTCTCCCCAGATCACAGTCTACTTGGAAAAAAGTGGAGAGGCTGAGGAGCTACGAATGGGAGGTACTGAGGAGCTATGAGTGGAACATACTCAGCCTCTTAGAGCATCTCTTCCAGGGTTAAGATGATAGAAATGAAATAGGGAGTCCTTTTCAGGTCTTTAGGACAATGAAGTGAGTCGACTTTTTTGTTTTTACACTAATACTCCTCTCAGACTTCCACGTGCCATGAAAGCCATGTGCTTCAAGAACACCTAGGGTCCACCTGACTGGCTCAATCCATAAAGCACCAGACTCTTGATCTCAGGGTGGTGACTTTAAGCCCCACACAGGGCATGGAGCGTACCTTAAAAAAAAAAAAGAAAGAAAGAAAAAGGGGAGAACACCTAAACTATCAAGTGCTCATGAAGTGCTTTCTTCATCTACCATATAAAAAAAGATACAGAGGCAACAAAAAGAACAAAGAGACTGCAAAACGGTGATGATACAAAACATGTTTCTGAGGTAATTCAAAGATATCCTTCCCGAGGGATTCAGTGTTAGCGAAGGAGGAGGGAATCGTTTTTAAATTTCCTCCCATTCTATTTCAGTTTCATTTTAAGGCTTTTTCCCCCCCTTGTGGAACATAAGATGCTATTGATTTTTAAGGATCCCATCATTTTATGTACTCTAAGCAAACACTGTCAACTAAACTATGTTAAAATTTTTAGCACATTTACTGTAAGCACCCTGATTTTAGTGACATTAAAACAAACAAAAAATCTTAGAATAATATGGTAATGTTATTAAAACAAGTCATTATAGCGCCAGGCTCCTGAAAATCTTATTTTGCATCCTGCAAATCAGTGGGGCTGTTATAGCCCATGCATGTTTTTCACCCCTCCTTGTCTATACTAGTAGCCACATGAGAATCCTGTTGACTATATTTTACAGAGAAACCTTGTAAGTACCCTGCAATTTAAAAAGTCTAATATTGGGATCCCTGGGTGGCGCAGCGGTTTGGCGCCTGCCTTTGGCCCAGGGCATGATCCTGGAGACCCGGGATCGAATCCCACGTCGGGCTCCCAGTGCACAGAGCTTGCTTCTCCCTCTGCCTGTGTCTCTGCCTCTCTCTCTCTGTGTGTGTGACTATCATAAATTAAAAATAAATTAATTAATTAAAAAGTCTAATATTAATTAAAAAATTTAATTTATAAGAAAGGAATTAAACTGCTAAAAAAGGCATGTGTGGCATCATTCATGCGTGCAGGAATACTGGGACTGTTTATCTACAGATCATTCTGGCTCCAGAGTACTCAGACACTGGGCCACCTGCTTCTGTCCCTCAGTGTCATTCTCTCTTCCTGTCCATCTGAGGGATGCAGGTCTCCTTCTCTTGAAAATGCTCATTTCCTTCCTGGGAAGGGGGAGATCTGAAGCGGCTACTACAGCTGACATGTTCTGCTCCACTTTTAGCAATTCTCTCTCACACAGGGATGGGGGTGGCTTGGGGGTGGGTGGGTGGCGGTAATGTCCAGGAATATGCTCCCAGGGTAGGCATATACAGACACTTTCCTCTCGTCCAGGATCAACTGACCCAGTTACCCAGTTCCCTCTGCTAAAAGACAGACATGGACTTGGCACTCTCTTAATTAAAATACATATGTTCTTAAAGTGAATGTATCAGTGGACCCCGCCTTCAATTTCCCAGGGCCTCTCCCTGCCAGTAAGCATGTGATGGTCTAGTGACAACACATCCTGCAGCTACCCCAGCTCACTTTCATTGTGAAACCCTCAGGTTCTATCATTTTGCTCACAACCAACAAACACCACCAGCAAACAAGAACCATACCTCTCACCTAACCCACACCGGAACCTATGGAACTGCCCTGTTAGTCCCAGGACACTGCCAGATGGCTTAACAATGGCCACATCTGGGTAAAAGACAAAGGATCTGTGGCACATTTAAAATCATGAAATAGCATCAGAAGAGATCCGAGACATTTTAGTCTGGGGAGCCTCACTTTCCCAAGTGAGAAAACAAGGTATAGTAAGTTAAGCAATCTTCCCAGAGGTTCACCAGGAGACAGGTGACCCAGCAAGGATGATTCAGTGGTTTTAGACTCAGTGCTTTTCTCTGAGACTGTGATAATCAGTCAAAGAGGACAGGCTGGAGTAGGCTCTATGTTGGGAGAGGCAAGGCTGGCAGTAAATGGGGAGAGGGCATGTCCTTGGGAAGAGGGGCCCTATGGCTGAGAGGTATGTCACAAGGTTACAGAGAAGATAGATAAGGCCCTACCCTGAGTGTGAGAGACAGAGGGGAGCGTCCGATCAGCGGCCGCTGCTGTTCACCAGGCCATGAAACTCCTCCCAGGCCCTGGCAAACCAGAGACAAAAAACACAATAGCACATTCAGATCAACAGCTTTTAAACAAAGAGCACAGACACGATAACCCCACACCCCACTTCAGATACCTCAAGGTCGAATGGAGCCCAACAGTACCTGGAAGCACAGTGGTAAGGCTTCCCACCTAGACTTTCCACTCACATTAGCAGTGGTAGCCAGTTCCTCTCCGGGGCAGTTGGCACTGCTCCCAGCTCACCCCCTCTCACTATTCCCTCAAGAATTTGCCGATCCTTCTGCCTATGCTTCAAGTCTACTGGGGAGGCCATGGAGGTCAGAGCTAAGCTCACCCATCCCTGGAGACACCTCTAATCACTGGGGCAAAGGAAAGAGGCGCTTTCTGCCTTGGGGGCATGAGGACAGGTGGAAGAAACAATTTTTTTTTTCATTAGGCTTCACCCTGTGAGTAAAGGCAGGTACCCAATAGCACTATGATGTCTGAAGATGCAATGAGGCAACTATAGTGCCCTCTCTGCTTTCACATTTCCCACCTTCTGACCCTTCTCAACTCACACTCCAAATCTGTATCAGGTCCCATCTGTTTCTGGAAATACCCATATAACTTAACTGTATAGGTCACAGCAGTTTAACATTTCTAGGGATCAATGCTCCTTATAACTTTCATGCCAACTAACTCGATTTAGTAATTGGGGTTAGGAAGGGATAAGAAAATGACTGAGAGGTATGTAGTCTTTCTGGTGCTGTTCCATGAAGAACAAGTCTTTGGGGACTGCTGGCCAAAACACAGGAGGAAACCAGATCTCCCATACATCCTGAAGCCCTGAACCACCTTGAGTTGACTCAGAGAAGTTGAAGTCCTATCTTTGTGCCCTAGCTACTTTTCAGCCCCATTAGGACAAAGTGCTTGGTCTGTTCTCCAGGAAGTATATATATAAAATGGACAATCTGGTGCTTCTAAACAGAAAATTCCTTATCGGCAATTATTCCAGTCTCTGTTTAAAGGGATGACAATACCCAGGGTGACAACATATTATGTCACTCACTACAGGTTTAATATTATGCCCAACAGAATATACTTCATTACCAGGCCTTCAACAGGTAACTTTTCTTTTCTTTCTTTTTTTTTTTTAAAATAGGGAGGGATTAAATACAGAGACCTGGTATGACAAATTCCTTTTTCCAGGTAATATTTATGCCAGTTTTGTTTTTCCCTCTTTTGAACAGCAGTAGCAATTAAAAGTTAATGATCTACCTCTTAGAATAAGAGATATAGATCTGTGGTTGATGGTTTCTTCAGAGAGTATTACCAAAGCTACTCATATATGCTAATTTAATTGAAGAAAAATGTAAGACCGCCAAACAAGCGTGCCAGTCTTTGTCAATTCACAAACTCAATGTCCACAGCAAGGTATCTGTTCCACAGCCCTTTCTGGAGAGGCGGAGAGGCGGTGAAGCGGTGAACTTCCTGAGTCCATGAGTGACATCAGAAGGCTATTTCATTCTCCATTCCAAAGGTAAGGGTAAAGCAAGTCCGATGCTTGGGCAGTGGCCTAGGAAACCCCTCTCTCCTTCTAATAGATTTCAATTCTATTTTAAGCACCTTAGGTGCCAACAAGAAATTACATGGCTGTGTTGAAGCTTCATCTCATTTATCCTTTTGTTTCCAGAAAGGCCTACTCTAGTCCAAACAGCAGTTTTCTGTGTGTTAAGAACCTGCAGAAATATAGATTTCAGAGTTCCCCCTCTAATCCATTCCAGTATGAAACTGCCCTCCCATTTTCTTCAGAAGAATCTTCTTCAGATGCTAAACCTCAACATGAAGAATCTGGGTACAGAAATTTCCTCACATGGATTCAGTAGAAATCAAACAGTTGGTCACAGTCACTGGAACAATCACTCTTACTCTTGTAGGCCAATGCTTGGCTAAGAGGCAAATTAACTACCTAAAGCTGGATTTGAACATCCTAGCTATTCTCCATCTGGTATCCCAGGCATTTTATGCAACATTAAAAGTTGGTTCTTTTAAAGGTAAAGAAAGAACAAGTTAAATGTTAGAAGTGTCATATGAATAGAATTTCTTAAAAAACAAAACAAACAAAACAAAAAAACAGAGCCTATAGGGAATTCTCAACAGATTCAAATGACAGAATGACTAAGAGTCCTTTAGAGACCACTCTGGTCTCACTTACCAGAAAACAAATTCAGACAGCAGAGATCTCATTTCTGTGTAACTGAACTTGCCTTCACCCTGCCTAAAGCTGGGTTCACAGCCTTGGGTTCAGCTGGCCCTTGATACTCAAGAATGAGTGCAGCTTCCTCATATTTTGGGCTTTCTTTGCTTCGAACGTCAGTATGGGGGGAACATTTCATAAACGCAAAGCCAGGCCAGCAATTAAGCTGGTTGTGACTCAGTGCCACCAGGCTATGATTCTGATTTAGCCAAAACAGGAGAATGATGGTTGGTTCTTGCCTACAAAGTTCAACGTTTAAATACAATGAAATCTAGAAATGGTAAAGCAAAGTCCCCATGTTTGACCCATCTCTCCTCTAGAATAAAATAATAAAGAGAAGTCACCTACCCTCAACTTCCTCTGCAGAGGGGTCTGGTCAGACTCCCCAATACTGTGGCCCACTGAAGCTGGCCCTGTCTTCCCCTTTTCCATTCCAGGCCAGACGCACAAAGGAACTCAATGATACTATTCCAAAGAGGAATTACCTCACAAAAGATATTGCTGCTTTATGTGGCTCTATGCCAAGTTTTATCCTGGTGGTCCCCTGGTGGTTGCAAGTCTGGCTGCATTATGAGATTTCTCCTCAAAAGAGGATACAGTTAGTTACTTAATGTTTGCAAGGACCCAAACCTATGAAACCTCAACTATGATTGGTCTCATAAAAGGAGCCATGCGCCTGAGCTAACAATCAATTTAACAGGTTTCCCATTTCTCAATGGGACCTGCTCACCCTTTAGGGGCGGAACTATTGGCAAGAAACAAGGATAGGAGGCAGCAAGTAGGAATCCCCTCTGCAGTAAAGCAGCTCACCACATGTGGTATGCAGCAGCGCTGGCCTCAGCTCACCTAGGAGTGCAGCAGGAGAGGCCGCAAGCATAGTGTGATTAGGGAAAGGCTGGAAAAACCAAATAGTTGAAAAAGGACATTAAAAACTGGGCTGAAACAGCAAGGTGAAGAAACGGGACTGAGAAATCTAAGCCACTCCTAGTAAAATGCCCCTCACTATTTCCAGCAGCCCTACTCTCCAGAGAACTTGCAGGAGAACAAATGTCAGCTCCTCCTTCCTCTACTTCCCCTGAATCCTCAAGTCCTCGGAGTTGCTGCTTCTTGGCTTAACCAAAGCCACACCTGTGGGAGAGCCACAAGGACTAGAACAAAGGAGAACAGCTCTGATGTCTGTTCACATTTGGCAAAGATCACAGGGGCCTCTGGGTGGGTTTGGTGCTTTCTGATCAACTCTTACTCCGGATGGAGGCATCAAGCTTATTTCGTGGACCAGTTATATAGCTGAAATTAAGGTCAATACATGTAACATAATATTGGAAGGGAAAAGGGAGAAGGCCACCCATAGAAGGTAATTTTTTGACAAATGCTGAAAATATAGAGAACAGGCATTTCCATTTGCCAAAAAATCTCCCATTTTCTAGGTATCCCAACCAGTTTTGGATATGCAATAAACAGAGGAACAATGACACAAACACCTCCAGAATGTTGAACGCTAGTCCCATTGTGTGTTCTGTGAGATCCTGGGCCACGTGCAGACCGTATAAGCGCAGGGTGTTGCTACCAAAATGGAATAGCCACTTTGGAAAACTCCACATTACAGCCATAGCCACCTTCAAGATGCTATTAGGCAACCAGACCTAAAGTTCTGCAAAAATTGTTTATTTTTGGTTTGGGGAGTAGCTCATATGAAAACTTAAAGTAACATGAGGCCTGCTGAAATTCCACCTGCAGGTTGCCTAAAGGGCACACTGCAGCACGTACAAGCCAAGTTACAAAGCATATGAGGGGCTGGTATGTGCTACAGTCAGATATCCTAAGGAGCAAACTCAGACAGGATGAAGACATTTCCCCACCCCAGATCCTAATGCACAATAACCCTGGTGAACTGGGAGAAAGGGAAGGGCTAGAACCCTGAAACCTTGCAAGCAGGACTAGCTCAAAGAGGAAGAGGATTTGGCTCTAAATGGAAAACAGAAGGGAGAAGGCTGGCAAAGAGCTCGTAGCTTGGGCAGCTCTGGCACAGTGAGAAAACCCTGTTAACACAAAGCGAGGAAACTACATACACACAGCCACACACAGAAGGAAGCAGGGCTTTACCTCCAAGCAAGAGAGTTCTTTGAAGTGAAGGCAAACAAAGTCAGCAAAGCAAAGGCCAAGGATCCCCCTTTCCAACTGTAACAGACTTTCAAGCTGAATTCTAATCAGAAATCATTCTGTTCTGGTCATCAGTGTGACCAGATGGGAACTACAATTCAAGTACCAGAAAATGGGGTCTCATTTTGAGAGCGAGATATCACCTCATTATGTCAGACCTCAGCAGAACTGGAAAAAATATCATGTGACACTACAATGGGCTTATGCAAATGAGGCTGCATTCCCCAGATGGCCCTCCATGGAGAAGTCTGTGCCATTCCTTAATATGGTGACAGTCAGTCTGAAAGGCCACTTCTTTGATGCACCATAAAGAGCGAGAGCATGAGACAAGCTAGTTTAGCACCATTTATTAAGTGATCTCAGCTGTTGTTGTAGCTGCTGTGTATCAGCCTGTTCTTAAAACATAAAATGCTCTTCCAATTCCTCTTGTCCAGGACAGAAGGATCTTCCAGGTAGCACGCCAACAGAACAAGAGACTCCGATGATGCCAGCTTCAATGATGGTGCCATCCAGAGAGGGAGAGGGTCATGGCACATTCAACCGCGGCTTCCAGAGGTTTTGAAAAAGGAGCCTTTGGGGGCCCAGCCTGCCTGGCATTCTAGTGGAAGTGCAAAAGGTGGGCACATTGGGAGAGGAAAGAGAGGGAGACGCGAGGGAAAGTAGCATCTGGGACTCAAGGAGGGTTTCTGGTCCCTGTGGCTGTAGGGCTGGAGTGCTAGGCAGATCTCTTGATAAAGCAGCGAGCAGCAGACTAAGGCAAAAAGCCCACGGGCTCTCCTAGACTCTGTAAGAACTTGTTCACATTTCTACAAAAGTCAGGAAGAATTGCCTCAGGGTATTAGAGAGGGAGAACAGTGGAGGGGAGAGTTGAAAAATACCTCTTTCCCTTTCCTATCCAGGTAAAAGCTTGCTTTTGTGGGGATTGGGGAGGTGGTGGGGGGCATTTGGGAACCTTGACTGTAAGAGTCCTAGAAAAAGTAGGTGTAGACCTTTCCAACCTGGACCATGTCTGGCTGGAGGGCAGAAACTATTCTCTTCCAGAATGAAGAATGTGGGAAATCTGCCTAGAGAAAAACAATGCTAACTCAGGAGTGCTAAGGCAAGCAACCGGGGCCACGGCTGGCTAGTAACTGTTGGTGTTTACGGAGGAGTCACAGCCAGCCATGTGATTGTGGACCAATGCTTGTGGCAGTGTTCCCAGTAAAAAACTGGCACTTGGCTAGTTTAAGCCAATTCCACCCACAACGTTATCTGTAAATGCATGGGAAAAAGATTCCCAAATAGTTTGCCTGCTGAACACCATCGCTGGGCTCATTACTGGTCTTTAATAAGAATAACATGATGAGGATATTATTACTAATGATGACGATGACAGCAATAATAATACTTGGCCCTGCAATAGCATTCTCCACCTGAGGACGTTCAATTACAAAGATTAAATCAGCCTCACAACAACCCTGTTAGATAAAGTATTATTATCCTCCATTTTACAGATGGGGAGACTGAAACAGAGTGGCAGAGACTTGCCAAAGGCACATATTGATACTGGAGTCAAAGGAGAGAGTTAAACCTCAAAGTCCTGACTCCTAGTTGGCTAGCTCTACCTCTAGTTTTGAGAAAACCTGACAGCCACTCCCCACAACTTCTTCATAATAACCTGAATTTATTTATGACTTTGGTCACTGAAGGAGCAACCCTAACCTATGATTCCAATTTGTGGACATCCAATTCTAGGTACCCCGAGTCCTAGGTAGATCGCAAAGCTTACTTCCCCTTAGATTCTACTCTCACAAACGCACTATTCTGCCTCCTCTACAATTTCAGTTCTACACACAAGGAAGTAGAGTCATCATTTCCGATAAGAAGTCGATTTCCCAGGACAAAGAAAACAGACTGACACTAACAAGTTAAAAAGACATGCAAAAGTGGGGTGAGGGGCAGACAGGGAGGAGGACTGGACTATTCAGTGAAATTATCCTTAAAAACAGCAAGAAAAAGAAGATCGCTTTGTCTTTCATTTTAAGATAGTGGTTAGTGAATGAAAGACAAGACAGCCTGTGTAAATGAAGCAAGCCCAGGCAGTGCAACTGGGATTCTGCAGAATTCTGCAGAAGGGCTCTCTCTGATACAAAGCGCCCCAAGTGTAGGTGGGCAGGGAGCCTCACCAGCAAACAACTGCTACAAGTGGCCAGAAGCACTAGAGGGGAAGACTGGTCTGTCCCTTCTCCGTAAGTCAGGCTCCTGTACAACCACATATCCCTCTGGGCCCAACTAAGGACCTATTTCTGCTAAGCTTAGGGACATGCCCCCCGAGCACCCCCAACACATACTTGATGCTGTCGGTGTGGGTTTTGTACTCCATAATGGTGTTGGGAGGTAGGTTAAGCACTCGCCGAAGGGTATCCCGGATGCGGGCTGTGGTTGCTTGGTCACTGGCAGTCTTATTCCATATTGAAATAATGTCCTCCTACAGGAGGAACAGAAGGAATCGTCAAAGCAAACCAGAGGAAGTGAGGAGAGCAAAGGCAATACAGGAAACCAGACCTGCCCATGGAGTGGCTTACCTGAAACCGGACAGAGACCACAGCCCCACAGATCTCCTCCCCAACCATGAACTGTTCCCCCAACATGGCCAGGATGAGATTCTCCCAGCAACGGGATGCTAAGCCCTTCCGCAGTCGAATAATCCACTTGCCACCATTTTTATTTGCATCATCCTGTACAAGAAAGAAACCATTAAAGTTAAAATGTGCTTTCACAGGTCTTTACTTTTACATGATAAAAGTCGGCAGGATAAAAGCCAAGTGTCCCTTGAACACTGAAGTCTTGTCACCTTCCAGTTATTCAACTTTATAGGAAAAATGATGGTAGGACAAGGGAGACAAGAAATGGGAAAAAAAGAAAAACAAGGTGGGAATCCTTGGTACAAGCCATTACAACAAATGGCTAAACTGACCCTTTAAAAACAATTCTCTCTCTTTGGAACTATTTTAGGAATCAAAATGAAGCGATGTCAGATTTCAAACACAGATTATTCCTCGCTTCATTCACTAAAAGTTTCCCAAGTGTCCTGATATCTCAAGCACACAGACATAAAGCCACAGTCTCTACCAGACCCAATCTAGTGGATAAACCAGAGCAGTACGTACAGTTGGAGAAGTGTTGCTGTACCAGAGATACACTACGTTAAAGAAAAACAAGATAGAAACACTCAGGAGGAAACATTTAAGCTGGGTCTTGAGGGATGCCCAGTTAGGCAAGTAAAGCAGGTGAAGGGCTCTGCAAGCATCAAAAAAATCATGTGTGTGTACACAGTGGTTCGTGTGTCAGGGAGACAGGCAAAGAAGAAGACTAGCACACTGAAGGGAAGGCTGAGGCATGCTGGGAGATGAGGCATGGAGGGTAAGTGAGTGCAAGAGCACATGAGCAATGCAGAGCTGCAAAGGGCCTGTAGTTAGGTGTGCATGTGTGTTCACATTTGTCTTCTAAAAAAAAAAAAAAAAAAGGGATCTCTGGGTGGCGCAGCGGTTTAGCGCCTGCCTTTGGCCCAGAGCACAATCCTGGAGACCCAGGATCGAATCCCACGTCAGGCTCCCAGTGCATGGAGCCTGCTTCTCCCTCTGCCTATGTCTCTGCCTCTCTCTCTCTCTCTGTATAACTATCATAAGTAAATTAAAAAAAAAAAAAAAAGCTGGGATCCCTGGGTGGCTCAGCGGTTTGGCGCCTGCCTTCAGCTCAGGACGTGATCCTAGAGTCCCGGGATCGAGTCCCGCATAGGGCTTCCTGCATGGAGCCTGCTTCTCTGTCTGTGTCTGACTCACTCTATCTGTGTCTCTCATGAATAAATAAATAAAATCTTTAAAAATAAAAAAAATAAAAAAATAAAAAAATAAAATGAAATAAAAAATGCTGGCATCAGAATAGAAGATGGATTACAGCAAAGAGATCAGAGCTCAGCTCTGGGTCTCCAACTACTGCCTATAAGCAAGCTTACTTTTTACCAGCTTCTATCACATGTACACTACAGTACTATATCACATACATGCACAACCAGTTTGATGGGAATGGGGTAATTAAAAAAAAAGTCCTTTAATGTTTTTATAATGCCATTTTAGTGATATAAACAATCTCTGTAAACCACGGACACAGACAAGCAATGACATCAGTACCTTTTCCAAGGCCCTGGCTCTAAGGATATACCAAATAGTGATGTAGCTTTGAGGCAAGATTTTAAATACTTTTACTCTTATTAGGGAGAAAAAACCCCAAACAACCAGAAAAGTGATCTGAGATCCTCCATGCTTACCTCCCACATGGGCTTAATTCCTTCTTTGAAGAGATGGAAGTCACTGTGGCCTGTCAGGTCCCCAGGACGTACCATGTGGCTATAAAACCTCCAGAACTGCTCCACCTGTAGAGAGAAGACCCCAGAGTACAAAAGATGTGTCTTTTCTTTTTCTTTGAATATGACATTTAAGAGAAGACAAACATGGAAGACACTTTGCTACAGACTCTACTTTTTTGAAGATAAATTTTCATTTGGGGAAGTATGTGGGAAGGAAAGCACGTTGTTTATTGATACAAGAATGAGGGTTATTTTTTTATTTTTAAAAGATTTTATTTATTTATTCATGAGAGACAGAGAGAGAGAGAGAGAGAGAGAGAGAGAGAGAGAGAGGCAGAGACACAGGCAGAGGGAGAAGCAGGCTCCATGCAAGGAGCCTGATGTGGGACTCGATCCTGGGTCTCCAGGATCACACCCTGAGCTGCAGGCGGCACTAAACCGCTGCGCCACCCGGGCTGCCCTGTTTTTTTTATTTTAAGATTTATTTATTTAATCATGAGATACACAGAGAGAGAGAGGCAGAGCATAGGCAGAGGGTGAAGCAGACTCTTCACAGAAGCCAGATGCAGGCCTTGATCCCAGATCCTGGAATCACGACCTGAGCCGAAGGTAGCCGCCCAACCGCTAAGCCACCCAGGCATCCCAAGAATGAATTCTTTAGGTGAAAAATGACAGCCTCAGCCTGGAGTCCTAGTTATAGAAGCTCCAGGATAATCACTGCATGCTAAGAGGACCTTGTTTTACACAGTGGAATCCTTTTATTTTATGTTATTTTATTTTAGTAGGCTCTATGCCCAATGTGGGGCTTGAACTCATGACCATGAGATTAAGAGTTTCCCATTCTAAAAAAAAAAAAAAAAGAGTTTCCCATTCTAGGGACGCCTGGGTGGCTCAGGGGTTTAGCGCCTGCCCCTGGCTGAGGGCGTGAGCCTGGAGTCCCAGAATTGAGTCCCTCATCGGGTTCCCTACATGAAGCCTGCTTCTCCCTCTGCCTATGTCTCTGTCTCTCTGTGGCTCTCATGAATAAAAAAAAAAAAATCCTTAAAAAAGGAAAGAAAAAAAAAAAGAATTTCACACTCTACCAACAGCCAGCCAAGTGTCCCAACACAGTGGAATCCTTTTATTTTTTAGGTATATTAGAGTGCCACATAACCTTAGCCTGAATGTATCTTTTGAGAACCAAATCACTTTTTAAAAAATACAATACGGGAAAACAAAAAACAGTATGATTAACTATAGTCATTATGCTGTACATCACATCCCCATGAAGTCTGATCACTTCTCAATCAAACACTGTTACTGGCAGACACAGCTTTAACTACAATGCATACAATGCATATATTTTTGTTCTGTTTGGCTACTAAGCAGAAGCGATAGAACCAACCACATGCATTACTCTAAACATGGAGCCCTTTGCTAAAGCCAGAATAGTCAAAACCAAATGGAGCACAGCCTCTCATACTTAGGGTTTAAGTCCCTCTTCTTAGCTAGAAAATTTGTTTCTCCTTGTCCCTCCTTCACAATCCTGTTAGAAAACTAGATAAGTTTCTCTATCAGATTCATGCTTATTCCTGATCATCAAGCTATTTCCGATTCACTCAGCAGTGCCATGATAAGGAGACCCTACTCCCTAGTCCTTTATAACTCAAAGGGGATACCCACAAAATACTGGCTAGTGAAGAGGCACACTTTTTTTTAATTTTTTTTAATTTTTATTTATTTTATGATAGTCACACACACACAGAGAGAGAGAGAGAGAGAGAGAGAGAGAGAGAGGCAGAGACATAGGCAGAGGGAGAAGCAGGCTCCATGCACCGGGAGCCCGACGTGAGATTCGATCCGGGGTAAGAGGCACACTTTAGGAAGAAAGGAAAAACATGGAATAGTGTGAAGACAGTGTTGGGATTTGCCAACACATCAATGAGGAGGCTCTAAAGAAACACCCAGAAAGACACAATAATGTGTAGTTAAAAATAGGTACTGAGTAGACAGAGATTCAAGTCATACTTCTAGATGTGGAGCGCAAGTAAGAAGAGACCTTACACTTTATGAAGCGGCTGTTCCTACAGTTCCTTAGAGAACCGGTACATGGGAACTGTCTCACATTACAAAGAAGTCAGGAACAAATGCCATCCATAGGAATTTGAAGCAGTGTCTCATCTCAATAATTGCTATGTTTAATTGTATACAGTGACTGGGGAAAGTAAGTGGCCATATGTATCCAATGAGCAATCATCTTTTTCCATTCTGACACAGTGGGAAGAAACAAAATATACCCACTAAAGCCTGTGGCTCATTGTGAATTAGGAATTGGAGGTAGGGGTGGTTAGGGAGAAAGTATACCAGCAACCCACAATTCCCTGAACAAGTACTGCTTTATTAACAATTTATTCTCTCCCGGGGATCCCTGTGGTGGCTCAGTGGTTTAGCGCCTGCCTTGGGCTCGGGGCGTGATCCTGGAGACCCGGGATCGAGTTCCGCATCGGGCTCCCTGGATGGAGCCTGCTTCTCTGTCTGCCTGTGTCTCTGCCTCTCTCTCTGTATTTCTCATAAATAAATAAATAAAATCCTTAAGAAAAAAAAAGGAAGTTCTTTAAAAATAATAATAATTTAGTCTCTTCCAATTTTATGGCCAGACTACAAATCTTACAGTTCCAATCTTATATCCAAAACACGAAGAGATGAGGTAAACAAATTGAGAAATACGATTAGGCTTTAAAAGATTTTTTCTTCTTTCTCTTTAGGCAATTTTAGTTTTTGAAACTCCTCACTGAAAGCAAAAAAACAAATGTTCAGACTCAGAATGTGGAGCTGCACAAAATACTTCAGAAATAATCTTGGGAAGCCTGGGTACCTCAGTTGGTTGAGTGTCTGACTGACTCTTGGTTTTGGCTCAGGTCATGGTCTTGGGGTTGTGTGACGGAGCCCTACATTGGCTACTTGGGGCTCTGAGCTCAGCAGGGAGTCTACTTCCCCTCTCCCTGTCCGTTTGCCCCTCCCCCCAGTCACAAATATACTCTCTCTAAAATACAATCTTTTTTTAAAAAAAGATTTTATTTATTTATTAATGAGAGAGACAGAGAGAGGCAGAGACATAGGCAGAGGGAGAGGCAGGCTCCCTGTGGGAAGCCTGATGCAGGGCTAGATCCCAGGACCCCGGAATCACGACCGACCAGAGCCAAAGGCAGATGCTCATCCACTGAGTCATCTAGGAGTCCCTAAATTAAAATCTTTGGGGGAAAAAAAAAGTCTCAACTAGGTTTCTCATTTTATAGTTGAGAAAATGGTTTCAGAACTCGCCCTGCCCTGAGTCCAGAACCAGAGCAGATGAGCCATATGATCCCCAAGTCCACTGCTCTTTCCATTTCAAGACACTGCCTTCTCAGTCACCCTGACTTCAAGAACTTTGAAATATGGTCAAATACTAGAATTAAGGAGCACTGAGATATACTACTTTGGATTTGATAAAACGTTCTTAAATGTGATTATTTCTCTGTAAGGAACCTAACATTGTTAGGCATTTCCTAATGCCTTGAATTACATGACAGTCAACAATGAACATTGTGGTCACACACCCACTGAGTCTGGAAGAATGATACCCTAGATGCTGCTGCCGATGCTGCTCTAGTTAACTGAACATTTATGCCAAAAGAGAGGCACCTGGGGGGGCTCAGTCAGTTAAGTGTCTGTCTTTGGCTCGGTTTGTGATCTGGGGTTAAGCCCCACTTATGGAGCCCCATGTCATATGGCTCTCTGCTCCCCAAGTCATATGAGCTCCCTGCTCCCCATGTCATATGGGCTCCCTGCTCAGTGGGGAATCTGCCTCTCCCTCTGCCCCTCCCCCCAACTCATGTGTGTGCTCTCTCAAATAAGTAAAATCTTAAAAAAAAGGGGGGGGGGGAGAAAACCCTTTGTGCACAAGTTGGGTAAATTCATATATAACACTTTCTTAAAAGGAAAGAAAAATGTTAGAAATATTCACAACTATCCCCCAAATAACTATACAGAATTCTGAATAAAAACTACCCCCCACCCAAGTTCAGTCTTCTCTGACCCTCTGAGCACTCATCCAGTTGTTCATAACAAAATGGGCTGCTATCTTCCCTGTAATGTCTAACATTCCCACATGGCAGGTCAACAACATTTCTGTGATAGATTCAGGAATGTTAGAAATGCTCTGATATTTTTAAAAGCTTATTTCTATTGTTTCCTTTACCAAGAATTCCTTTCTTTCATATCTCCTGTTCAAAATTTTAAGTTCAAGGTTATTTTATTCATATATATATTTAAATTTATTCATTTTTACTTTAGTAATCTGTATATATCCAACATGGGGCTTGAACTCTCAAAACCAGGAGATTAAGAGTTGCATGTTCTTCTGACTGAGCCAGCCAGGTGTTCCTTAAGTCTAATTTTAAGCCCATCTGCTCCAAAGAGGCTTTCCCCAAGTTGGAATTAATTCCTTCTTTCCTTTGAATTTCAAGAGCACTTTAGCCATGCCTTCCTTTTTAAATTTTTTTCCAAAGATTTTATTTATTTATTCATAAGAGACACAAAGAGAGAGGCAGAGACATATAGACAGAGGGAGAAGCAGAGAGAAGCAGAGACACAGGCAGAAGGAGAGGCAAGCTCCCTATAGGGAGCCTGATGCAGGACTCCATCCCAGGACTCTGGGATCACAACCTGAGCCGAAGGCAGAAGCTCAACCACTGAGCCACCCAGATGCCCCTAGCTATGCCTTCCTTATAGCACTTCTGTCTCCCTGTATTAGAAATCTCTGAGAATGACTTATTTCTCTAAGGGCAAGGTCCTGATTCATTTTAGAACTCTTACGGAATTCATTCAACAAACATTTCCTGAACCAAATATGCACCCAATGCACAAGCTCTTTTTAGTATTTCAAAAGAGCCTATATTTACCAGTAATAAGGGAGCACAGGCAGGCACTAGGCTGGCTCAATCAGTGGAGCATGCAGCTCTTGATCTCAGAGTCATGAGTTTGAGCCCCACACTGGGCATGGAGCCTACTTAAAAAAAAAACAAACCAAACCAAACAAAAAAAAAAAAAACAGGGAAGCACAGCTAACTAAAGTAAGATCCTTGCTTTGGGCTGAAACTGTATCAACTCCACAGAGTCATCAGATAATCTGATTATCAGATATATATAAACACATACATACATATATATGATTAGTAATAAACAGTTTGTCTAGTAAGCAACATTAAAAAATATTAGAGACACTTGACATGCACTTTGGTGTAAAGGAAGAGTGAATGAAAGAGTCTGTACGGGCTTTGGAATGTGGCTTTTACAGCCTAACCAACCTGATTGTAATCCGGGCTCCTCCACTTAAAGTAGATTATGACTGGCTTGATACTTTTGACCAGATACTTAATCCAAGTTTCACTTTTCCTTGCTTGTGAAATATGGATAAATATCACTAATCTCATAGGGCTATTATAACGATCTAAGGAAATTACATCAAGTGCTTATTACTGTCTTTCTTCTTTACCTATTGTAATGTTTACTATCTGTTATAGTTTCATTTTCCAGTGTCTACACTTTATTTTTTTTTCTTTTGATTTTATTTATTTATTCATGAGAGACACAGAGAGAAAGAGAGAGGCAGAGACACAGGCAGAGGGAGAAGCAGCCTCCATGCAGGGAGCCCGATGTGGGACTTGATCCTGGATCCGGGGATCACACCCTGAGCCGAAGGCAGACACCCAACCACTGAGCCACCTAGGCGTCCCGTGTCTGCACTTTAAATAGGAAAAAACCTCCACAAATTTCAAGAAAATAACAAATCCATTTGATTCTGCCCAGAGATCAAATGTATATAGCACATAGGAAGTGCATAAAAATTTTTGTTGAACAAGGTTGGTTTTAGCTGCAGACAGGTTTCAGGGTATACAAACCTAGACAACTGTGAGGGAGAGAAACAGAGCTTGGGTTCTGACAGGATCTATGAAAACAATTCTTAGGATTTAATTTTCTTTTTGAACACAGAGAAAGATGCTACTTCATGCATAATTACTAACAGGTTCAAAACCCTAATGAGAGGGTTTTTGTTTTGTTTTGTTTAGTTTTTTTAAAGTAAGCTCTATGCCCCCATGTTTAAGAGTCCCATGCTCTGGGGATTGAGTCCTGCATCGGGCTCCCTGCAAGGAGCCTGCTTCTCCCTCTGCCTATGTCTGCCTCTCTCTCTGTATCTTTCACGAATAAATAAAAATCTTAATATATATATATATATATATATATATATATATATATATATATAATGTATTATAAAATTTTTCATCCTCCATGACACTTTGCACTATACAATAGGACTCAATATGTATCTATTTAAACAAACCTATATTTTTGTATTGTCCCCTTATGGTCAATTTGACAATTCATATACTTCTTGATACGATACCTCTGTATGTTACCTATGGACATCTAATGAAAAATCTAAAAATGAGCAAACCTCACCTTAGAGACTCAGGTCAGTCAAATAAGGAAACCAGAATCCTAAGTAGGTTACCAGGAAGGTAAATAAACACAGTGGTGTAAGTATAGGCATGAATGCTACTACCAAGGCTTACTACATTAAACCAGTAAGTACTCACAGAGGCAAAGGTGCCGATCTGTTTGATATTCTGTTCATAGCTCTGTGAGCTGGTGGGACGGCCGGGGGTTCTTCTGGAGTACCAGAAAGTATAGTTGTACTGCAGGGGATGCTCTGCTGGCCCAGGGACAACAGCCTGTGAATTAAAGAAGCTGTGTTAATCTAGGGCATTTTTCACATGATCAGAGACTGAGAAAACATTTTACAGTGTCACCCCTTAATCACCTCCACAAAAAGGATACACTGCACCACCTGCAACATGCCCAAGATTCCACTTACACAGTAAATTTCTCTTTTCTTTCTTTCTTTCTTTCTTTCTTTCTTTCTTTCTTTCTTTCTTTCTTTCTTTCATTCATTCATTCTTTTTCTTTTTTTTTAAAGATTTTACTTACTTAGAGAGATGGAGCAGAGTTAGAGGGAGAAGCAGACTCCCTGCTGAGGGACCTTGAGATCACAACCTGAACCGAAGGCAGGTTCAACTGACTGAACCACCCAGGTGCCGCTACACAAAAAATTTCTTTAGTGTTTAACTGACTCTAAGTTCCTGTAACATTTTATCTGTATTCTTATGGCATTTGTAACTTTCTGTTTTCTATCTTAGGTATTTACATTTATATCTTATCCCAGCCAAGTACTCCCAGGCCAAGTACTGCCTCCTCTATGATACTTTATCACTCACTGACTAGTAACCTTGACAAGCTATGTAACCTGTTTGTGCCTCTGCTGCTTACTTGCAAAATGAAGAAAATAATAACAACCATATCGTAGAGCTGCTGAGAGGATCAAATAAATTAATAGAGGGGGCTCCCTGGGTGGCTCAGCGTTTTGGCGCCTGCCTTTGGCCCAGGGCGCGATCCTGGAGTCCCGGGATCGAGTCCCGCATCGTGCTTCCGGCATGGAGCCTGCTTCTCCCTCCTCCTGTGTCTCTGCCTCTCTCTCTCTCTCTCTCTGTGTGTCTATCATAAATAGAATAAATAAATCTTTAAAAAAAATTAATTAATTAATAGATGTAAAGTGCTTAGCACAGTGCCTGACATATAGTTAAGTGCTCAGTGTCAGCTACCATTATTACTGCTACTATTAAATATAAATCCCTTGATCCATAGTCTCATTCACCTTTCTCTTAGCACCTATAGTGTTTGTATCTGGATAGTACTTGACCTCATGAGATAAACAACTGTTTTGATATTCCAAAAAAAAGAAATTGATCCATCTCTCATTCTCTAAATTTTCTCCTTTCCAAGTCACTTTCAGCTTAGACTATTATTAACTAAAGAGTCTAAAATTTGAAGGGATGTGTAGGACTTGAAATACTTAGCAGCAGCTTATGAAGCAACAAATAGCCCTGTTAAACTCCAGGGTTAATCTCTCATGCTGGGAGAATGCTGTAAAGCAAGGCAACATCTCAAGATCCTGTGGCAAGGGAAAAGTTCTAACTTCCAATATGAACGTCAGTGATTCAACAATCTTTTTTTTTGAGAGCAAAAGCAGATATTCCAGGGGGACCTGGGTGCCTGACTCTTGATTACAGCTCAGGTCATGATCTCAGGGTCATGGGATAGAGCCCCAAGTCGGACTCCACACTCAGCTCAGAGTCTGTTTGTCCCTCTCCCTCTGCTCCTCCCCCTGCTCACACATCTTCGCATGCACATTCTCTCTCTCAAATAAATAAATCAACTCTTAAAAAAAAAAAAAAAGGCATATATCCCCAAACAGGGTGCCATGAAGTTAATCCGGTGTCTTTCACATAACAGATTCCACAAGATAACCAAATCTCAAGTCCAAGGGCAACTCTATCTATATAGCACAAAACTCACCTTCCTCTTACTGCTGCCCTGACTTTTGTCTCGTTCCGTTTTTTCCTTCTCACCATCTTTCTGTGTGCTGTTTTCTTCATTCTGATCATGGTCCCCACTGTCATCATCTTTCAATCTGAATGGGAAGGCAAAACAATGTTAGCCCATGACTGAGCTGATATTTGCTTACCTAACAAAACCACCAGGTCAATAGAACTACATTATAATCAACCCCAAGTCACTCAAAATACAGGCAATGAGATGTACCTGAGATGAGGAAAGGACAAGGAGTGCAGAAAGGCAGTCAGGAGGAATTCCAAAAAAAAAAAAAAAAAAAAAAAACCCAGTCTTCCAGTTTTCTAACAGGTAAAGGAGCAAAAGGCAAACAGTTTATTTTTTTTTTTTTAAGATTTTATTTATTTATTCATGAGAGAGAGGCAGAGACACAAGCAGAGGGAGAAGCAGGCTCCACGCAGGGAGCCCAATGTGGGACTTGATCCTGGGCCTCCAGGACCATGCCCTGGGCCAAAGGCAGGCGCCAAACCTCTGAGCCACCCAGGGATCCCCAGCAAACAGTTTAAGGGACAGTTTTCTTTGCCAAAAATAACGAGTCAATAATGAGAAGAGTTTCTGGATTGTATAACTGGCATTTCAAATGAAGTTTAAAAATTTACCTATCTCTCTCAACTCTACTAACCATCTCTCCTATCCTTCCCCATTGCCACTGCTTTAGCTCAGGCCCTCTTCTTTGTCCTCTGTTATTGCAATAAATTCCTAAATGGTCTCCCTGACACAAATAATCTCCACTCTCTATCCATCCTCCACATATCCATGAGCATCTTTCTAAATGCAAATCAGAGGGCACCTGGGTGGTGCAGTAGGTTAAGTATCTGACTCTTGGTTTCAGCTCAAGTAGTTGATCTCAGGGTCCTGATTTTAAGGTTGTGAGGTCAAGCCCTGCATTGGACTCCATGCTCAGCAGAGTCTGCTTGAGATTCTCTCTTCCTCTTGCCCTCCCCACTGCCTCGCATACACTAAAATAAATTTGAAAAATCTTTAATTAATAAATTCAATCTAGTCATTTAACTTCCATGCCTAAAACCATTAACCGTCCCCTGTCTTTGGATGACCACCCTGCAGGATAAAATACAATGAAATTTAAGATCCTCTAGAATCTGACTCCTGCCTACTGAAATCTTCTTTCCCTCCCCATCTCCCAAAGCAACCTATAGTCCCACAGCTGTGCTATCTGCAAACACTACCCCTCAGCCCAAGGTGCATTCCTCCCATGTCTGTTTTTACTATTAAGTGGAGGGATCTCTTAGAACAGTCTAATATAAATCTTTGTGCATTCAGCACCAAGGACAAGAAGATGCCGCCCTAACGTATAGCACGAGATGTTGAATCAATGTTTAATGAAAAGAGAAAGAAATGACTGAAAGAAGGAATGAATGTCTTTTCACCTGGTAAGATTGGTCAAATGCACAGTAGGTGCTACCCTCCTAGAAGCAGTGAAAAGTATCCTAAGGCTTTCAGGTAACATATAAAGCTCACTGGATTTAGACAAAAAGATAAGCAGGTGATGACTTCACAAATATATAAGAATGCCATTTAGTTTAGAACTGGACCATTAGCTTATCATGGATCTTTTCCAAAATCACCTCTGGCCCTAAGGACTATCTAGTCAAACAGAATTAGGTAATTCTCAAGAAAGGTACTAGAAATACTCAAATGATAACATACACATTATCTTACATACCTACAGAAACACGTTGCAAAGCATTTTGCATTTCTTTTGTCCATAAATTTCCCATGCCACACACATAAAAAGCACTCAATAAATATTAGAATGCACAAACTAGCCATGTATTGAGGTACCTCCTCTGCCCATTTCACAGCTCTACCTGTAGGATACATTCAGGCGCACCATACCCCAAGTGACCCCATCCCCTACCTTCCTGCTCACGACAGGACTATGAAGGGCACCTGAACTAAGGGCAGTCCATCCTGGCCAATAACTGGTGCCTTGTGGTCTTGCTCAAATTATGAGTACATTTCTTCCTTGGCCTTTCATTCAGGAGATGAAAGATCAGAGATTCAGGAGCTGGGGCAATCATATGGGTCCCATATGAAAAAAAGCCACAATGGAAAAAGTGAACAAGAGAAAAGAAAGCCAGGAGGGAGAAAGGGAATGGAGCAGAGAAAGCAGAGAGAAAAGGGGTTTTGTCTATGATGCTGCGACCTCACTGACTTGGTAAGACCTAGGAGACTTCTGGGAGAATGTTATCTGCGTTTATGATACTCCTTTCCCCTTATTAAACTCGAGTTGGTTTGATGTACTTTCCTAAAGGAGCCTGGATAGCACTAAGTCCCATATTTACCAAGCCACTTACTGTATCAGATGCTACTGCCTGTCCCCAAGCACCTGACTGAGGAGATAAGGTATACATACTCAGGCCTCAGCTTGGTTACAAAGGTCCTGCTCTGTGTGTATGTGCCAGTATCACCTCCTGCTTGGTCCCAACAAACACCTCCACTCTCCTGTTATCAACTTACTTGCAGCTTCTTGATCTCCCCTCCCTCTGTTATGCTCATCGTCTGGTCTCTCGTTGGAGAGCCTCTCTTCCCCTACTTAAATTGTCCTCTAGGACTCAGGATAAGGGCCACTTTCTCTTAGAAGTATTTCCTAATCTCTCCCTAGGCTGGATCAGGTTCCCCTCTTCTGAACCTCATCATATCAGTGTTTGTACTGGTCTCAGCTATAAGGTCATGCCTAATTTATCAGCTCCCAAACAAATGGTTTTTTATACTGAATAGGCCCAAGACAGCCCCTCGTTCTCTTCTTTAGGGCATATCTCAGGACTCAAACCATTTCCCTCTCTTCTTACCTCCCAGCCTCCACAATAGTCTTCTGGGGTCCCTTCCCTTTACATCTTGAAGAAAGGCAGTCATCCCACATCTCTCATTTTACTAGCCCTAAGAAAAGCACATGTTCCTTTCTTTGCTGCTATTCATGATTAGGAAACAGAAAAATAGCAAAAATAATTATATCTGAGAAGAGAGTGCTACTGTGATTCCTGGACCACACTTCCTGACTCCCTTCAGAGATGATAAAAGGAAATCCTAATGTGTTATTTCTTGAGGGTGGAGCTAACCAACCACCCAGCCCTCTAAGCCTATACTTAAAGGCAAATCACTTGCATCCTGTCTTCCAGAGGCTACTCTTCCCAGCTTGAAGCTGGATTTGAGCCAAGATACAATCAGGACTAAAAATCAGTGCTCCAGACTCAGGAGGGCAATTAGCATCTCTAAGGCTATCCAGACTGAGTGGCTCCAAGTCAACTCACCAAACCTCTGCCCAGGTTTATACTCACACTGCTCTCTAAGTAGACCAATTCCGGGCAGCCCTGGAGGCTCAGCGGTTTAGCGCCGCCTGCAGCCCAGGGTGTGATCCTGGAGACCCTGGATCGAGTCCCACGTCGAGCTCCCTGCATGAAGCCTGCTTCTCCCTCTGCCTGTGTCTCTGCCTCTCTCTCTCTCCCCTCTGTGCATTCTCATGAATAAATAAATAAAATCTTTAAAAAAAAAAATAAGTAGACCAATTCCTTGTGGATAGGAACTTAGATTAATTCATCTTTACATGCCCAGCATGAGAACGAGGCAGACAACAAACATGTTTAATGAATGCACTTCTAAAATCAAAGCAATAGAAGGCAGAATAGGATGGGAGCCAACAGGTGGTTCGGACAATACTGTAAGAAAGGGCCAAAAGCTAGCAAAGAGAGAACAGTAACAAAATCAAGTATGGCATCTAGATCTGAAAACTAAGGTAATCACAGTCTGGGACTGCAGAATAGTGAAATCATCCTAAGGTTTCACACATCAACAGGATCAATGACAGTGGTAGCTAACTGACTGGATAGATGTAGGGGGTGGGGTGCAATTATAATCCTAGATTACACTCTCAGAAATCGAGCCCACGCAGGAGGTTAGAGCTCTTCTTTAATCTGGGCTGCTCTAGGCACTGGACTTTTAGGATACTGGCAAACTGGAACCAGTCCTTAGGAACACGTGGTCAAGATTACAGAAGCCAAACAATCGTCTAAAAACTGCAGACTTTTGGGGAACCTGGCTGGCTCAGTCAGAGGAACTCTTGTTCTCAGGGTTGTGGGTTCGAGTCCCATGCTGGGTGTAGAGATTATTTAAATAAACAAACTTAAAAAAAAAAAACCCTACAAACTTGTTACATGAAAAATAAAAACTAGGGGCAGGAGTGTGGTCTCTAATTGCTAATTTCAAATAAATGAGAGCTTTTTTTTTTTTTTTTCCTGCATACCTAGGAGATGTCAAAAAATTCTGGGTCATTATAAGGCATGGTAAATAATTAGAACAAATTAAAAATGACCCAGGTTCATTTTTGTCAAGAGTTACTTGAACCAAGGTTAAACAAACCGGGGTTTGAATCCTGCTACGTGCGCCTTCCTGTTTTCGTGCGCAAGTTACTTAACCTCAAAGGGCCTCATTTTCCTATCTATAAAAGGAGGTAACATGATCCCCTTAGCAGAGTTGTTAGCAGTAGAAATAACATATGAAAAGTATCTACCAAGATTCCTATGAAAACTGTTACTATCATTCTCAAATTAGCTTACCGCAGATCCCCAAATGATATGGATAAGACTTGGCTTAGCTGACCCATAAAATGCCTTCCTAAGATGCAATGTTGATCTGTTCAATTCAGTGAAGGAAGAGGTATAGCATTTACAGAAAGCTCTACTGAGGGAGGAATTTGGTGTTGCAAAGATTTAAGATATAAGGGGTGCAAATGGGGGTGGGGTGGGTGGGGTGGGAAGTGTGGCTGTTCCTATTGAGATGGGCTCAGCTAAGCAGCAGGCTGGGGGAACATTTAGCCAAAGACTTTTTCCAAGTCCCAGAGACTTCTCAGCAATCAGGAACACATTCCAGAGGAGCTGCCTAGAGCGCTGGAATCCAGGACTCCGAATGTGCAAACCAGCACTCATTGTACTGGGGGGGGGGGGGGCACACAAAAAAACAAAAAAAAAAAAAAACAATTTCCCATCAGCAGCAGGTCACAACCTAAACAGTGATGCCACTTTAAATTCCTCCCTATTAGCAATTTACAGAGTCCCTTTAAGCACTTGCTGAACGCGATTTGATCCTCACACACCAGGGCAGCAGCAGGGCCCCAACCGCTAACGTGCTTTACGTTAACAATGGCTGGGTGACTCTTCCCCTGTCATATCAGCGGTAAACGGGTGGGTCTGGACCTGGGAATGTAGGTCCCTAGAGATCAACTATGCTTACTAGAAGCACATAACCTGCCTCAAGACACAATCGCTAGAGGGAAACGTGCAAAGAAATAATTCTGCATTTCCTTTTTTTTTTTTTTTTTTTTTTTTTTTTTGCGCCCCCAAACGATGCTGCTGGAACTGGGGAGGTGGAAACGGGGGCAATGACAGGGGGGTGCTCGGTGGACCAGAACAGGAGCAGCTCCTGGGGAGCGTGCTGGAGCAGGGGGCGGGGGGGAGAAGGGGGGGGGAGGAGAAAGGAAGCAGGAAGGAGCCTCGGGAAGGCCGGAGCATTCCGTAACTGAGCCGCCTGCAGGCGCCAACGGCCACATTACCTCACTGCATCCTCGCCACTCTCCGGCCCTGCTGTCACCGTCCCCACTCTGCAGAGGAGAACCCCGACTCAGAGGGGCGAGGCGAGCTGCCCAGGCGGGAGAGCGTGTGCGTGGAGCCCCCGCCGGATCCAGAGGCAGCGCGGCCGGGCTGCGCCAACACCCCAAAACCGCCGCCGTCGCCGCCGTCGCCGCCGTCCCCGCCCCTCCGCGCCGCCGGCAACCCGCACCCACCGGGGCGGGGCGTCCAAAAATCTCCTTCCGGGCGGCGCGGCCACCTCCTCCCGGGACCCCGCGCTTCGCCCTCGGGCCGTACCCCCCTCCGCACCCCTGCAGGACGCCTCCCTCCCCAGCCCCCCTTCTCCCCCGCCGGCCGCCCGGGCCGCGAAGGCCCGCAGCCCAAGCCCGAGCCCAGGCCGCAGGACGGCGCCGGGGAGTTTCGCCGCTGCCGGCCCCCGTGGAGGCGGGCGCGGGGGGAACGGCTGGGGGAAGGGGCCCCGCGGGGCGGCCACGCGCCACTCACGCGTCGAACTTGTTGTTCATCCTCTCACCGCCGCCGTCGCCACTGCCTCACGGAGTGACTTCCGCTCCGCCGGGTCTTCCCCCCCCCCCCGCCCCCAGTTTAGGGCCCGGCCACTTCCGGCTGCGCGCGGCGCAGCGGAACGTCTGCGCGCTAGTCCGGTGCGGGGCGGGTATCCCGGGACGCCGGCCCCGGGCGGCTGCGCGGCGGCTGCGCGGAGGCTGCCTGGGTCCCCGCCGCGCGTCCGAGGGGGCGCCCCGACTCCACACCCCCCGCCCCGGGGCGGCTGCTCCGTCCTGGACTCGCTCTTCACCTGCCCGAGGCTGTTTCCTCCTGGGCCCCGGCCACGCCCCTTCGGGTCGCCGTGTGGCTGGAGCCGGACCGCCGGTGTCCGGCGCGGCACGCAGCCGCCCGCGCGGAGTCTTCCGTCTTGCTGACCTGTGCGGGGGAGCGAAGGAGCTCATCGCGCCCCCCGAGGCGGTGGGAGATGTTGAGAGACCGACCCCAGGTGACACAGTTAGTGCGAAGCTCACCGGAACCCCAGATGGGCCCGCCAGGCTCGGAGCGAGCGCCTCCCGGATCCGAAGCCTCTGCTCCCGGGACACAGGGGCGGCGCGCACGGGAGTTAAGGACGCGAACCTGCTGCTGGTGGAGCCCCCAAGCCAGCACCCCTGTGCTTGGGGAAGGCGGTTATTACCAGCCCCCCCCCCGCCCCCACGATGTCCCATTGTCAGGTCTTATGCACATTTTTTTAAAAGACTTATTTATTTGTTCAGAGAGAGAGGGGCAGAGACACAGGCAGAGGGAGAAGCCGGCCCCACGCAGGGAGCCCGACGTGGGACTCGATCCCGGGTCTCCAGGATCACACCCCGGGCTGCAGGCGCACCCACCGGGGCTGCCCCTTATGCACATTTTTGATTCACTGTCACCCGCACCTTTGATCCTCTGATGGGGGTGGATAGGAAACGGAAATCCGAACCCATATTTGCGGATGAAGAAACAGAGGCTCAGAGGGCACAAATGACCTGCTCGGGTTCTCTCCTCACCAACAGAACTCGGGCCCCAGCTGTATTCTCAAAGCCGGGCCTTGCCTCTCCCGCCAGGAAGACCTCAGCTGGTCATCTTGTTTTCTAAGTGGATCCAGAATCTCCTGCCGGAAGGGAAAGCCCAGCCCATCACCTCCCAGCCTCTCTGCCCAGCTCCTCCTTGTCTTAAGCATCCTTTGGGACCAGTGCAAATGCTCCGACGCCCTTTGAGAAGAGAAGGAAGAGGGGTCTGTTTTCCAGGCCACCGAATCTTTCTTGGGAGTGTCTAAAATTGGGTTGGGAATTCTGCATTCCAAACATTATTTAACCACCAGTGTTCTTTTTCTTTTCTTTTTTTTTTTTTTTTTTATTTTAAATATTTAGGGGCAGCTCCGGTGGCGCAGCGGTTTGGCACCGCCTGCAGCTTGGGGTGTGATCCTGGAGACCCAGGATCGAGTCCCACTTCGGGCTCCCTGCCTGGAGCCTGCTTCTCCCTCTGCCTGTGTCTCTCATGAATAAGTAAATAAAATCTTAAAAATATATATTTTAAAATATTTATTCATGAGAGACACAGGCTCTAATGATGGCTGCCCTAGCCATCAGTGTTCTGGGAAGCCCCCTCTCACTTGGAGCCCCAATCTGCCCAAATGAAACGTGGGGAAATAGTGACCCTTGCTTGTCCGTGATGACATGAATAACTCTTCTGTGATCAATGACCAAAAAAAATGCATATGAATGGAAAGGTCACTTGTGCAGCAGAGTCTCGGATGCTTATAGCACCCAGAAAGTAGAAAAGGGACATACCAGCTGGCGTGGGCTGCTGCCCTTCTTTCAAGAGAACATTGTCTGCTATTCTTCACATCTCTCTTGACCTCTCTCCTCTGGGAGCCTGTGGGGAGGGACTCGTACTAAGGTAGGGAGGCCCAGTCCTGGAGGGATGGGACCTTGCCTAGTTGGGGACGTCATACAAGACAGAGTCCTTAGGGCTTCAGAAATAGCAGGAGTTGCTAACGTCTTGCTGAGGTGAGGGGATTGCCAGGACTAGCTAGCCAGAGCCATGTGGATGCTGATTCCAACAGTGCACCCTGCCCACAGCCATTCTCAAGGACTCCAGCTTGGTCTCTTTATTTCCCATGCTTTATTTCTCAGGCCTGGTGGTCCTGAAGGCCACTTCCCAAAGAGCACACTCATGACCCCAGCCACTGAAGAACACAGCTGATAAGACTCCACATGGCTCTCAGCAGTTGGTCAGCTCAGTCAGGTGAGGGCAGGTAGGAGCGGGGGTCTCCAGGGAATGGCAGAGCGGGCACCTGGTTGTAGTGGGCCATGAGGAAGATGCCAGCGGTGCCACAGACAAAAAGCGAGAGCATGGCCAAGAAGCAGACACGGTCCAACACGCGTCCCACCAAGAACCACTCCTCGCTACCCTGAGGGTGGGAGGCAGGGTGTGGGATGGCCAGCAGTGACACCAAGCCTGACCTGGGTCACTGTGCCATCCTTGGTCATCCAGCAGGCCTCTCTTCTCCGTGTCCTTCGGCCCTTCTCATCTCCTTCCAGACTTTAACCTGGCTTCTGCCATAGTCCCCTGGTCCATCCCATTGCCCAACCATGGCCACCCTACTCATCTTGGCCCCCGTCCCAGGTCCAAGTCCCTCCCTGGGTACTCAATCCCCCTTACGCTGTCAAAGTGACTTTGCTGGTGCCGGGCGAGGGCAATCAGGTTGCAGGCTTCCACACAGGCCTGGATGGCCGGAGCAGCCTGCTTCAGGCTGCCACACAGCTCCTGGCTCTGCCCTGGCTCCGGGCCTTTCTCTGGTGAGAGAGGGTAAGGTTTGGGGATAGAGTGGAGAAGTAGTCTGAGAAGTTAGTCTCTCCTGAGCGGCCTAGCTTCTCTCCCCTCAACCTGGACGCTCATCTGCCCTCCCTGGTGCTTTGGCCGACAGGCCTGCCTGTTTGGAGTCCCTGGGGAGGAGGGTCCCCAGTGTCATACCCCCTGCCTCACCTAGCTTCTCCAGCGCTGCCCTCACCAGCCCATTGCGCTGCCGCTGCCGGAATAGAAGTTCACTGCGAGGCAGGCAGAGAGCAGTGTCCTCCCCAGCTGTGATTGGCCATGCCAAGGAGGAGCCGTTCTGTAGCTGGCGCCGGGTGTCTCGCACAGCTGCTGGGGCTGGTGGGCGAACATGCATCCGCAACAGCTGAGGCAAGAGCCGTAGGAACACCTGGAGAGAGGGGTTTCTGGTGGGCTTAGCTTAGTAGCAGCAGACCTGGGCATGTGGGCAGCCAGGCTAGGCTTCAGAGCAGAAGGTGAAGGTTGGCACGGAGGGCTCGAGCCACCAGGGGCTCAGGGGCAGCAAGCACATTAGGGTCAGTGGCTTGACCCCAGTAGCTGGACTGTTTTGTGCCAGACGTGAGCCTAGGTCCTCACATCTGTGTGCACATCAGAATCACCAGGGCGCTCACTACACAGGTTCCCGGGCCCCACCCCGGCAGTTCTGGCCCACAATGCCTGAGGTGGGCCTGAGAATCTGCATTTGCAGCAAGGGTCCCAGCCGACTGCTACAGGTGGGCTGCAGATCACACAGGCTCTGACGCAGACTGCCTGGGCAGCACCTTGCTTCTGCTTCCTAGCCGTGCGACCTTGGGTGAGCGAATCAATCTCTCTGTGCCTCAGCTTCCTCACTGGCCGACTGGAGATGGTACTAACACCCACCTCAGAGGAGTTTATGAAGATCCAGTCGTTAGTGTGCATAATACACCTGCCACATAGTAAGCACTCGGTGTCATTATTAATCCATTTGGGCACATGCTTCAAGATACAGGGTAGGTGTGCCGCTGAACGTGGCAGGGCAGTAGAGAAGGGGAAGGGGTGGACAGGAGGATGCTTGTGAGTGGACTGGACAGGAGGATGCTGGAGTGGGCAGGGAGAGGCCTTGCCTTTCGGACCCCATGAGCCATGGAGTGTGTGTGGGGGGACCGCAGGGACACGTTGAGCACGACCACGGCATTCACAACAATGAGGATGGTCACCGCCAGGAGGAAGGTGAGGTACCTGCCGGAGTTGGGTAGGCAGGAGGTGGGGCTGGCCCTTTGGCACCTCATCTCCAGATGCACCCCCACCCTTAGCAGCTGACTCCCCCAGATTCAGCTGGGTGAGGGGTTGGCACCGAGGACAGGTGAGGTGGGAGTGGCAGGAGGGTAGTGCCCCGAGTTCCAGGGAATGGAGGGGAGGAGGCAGACGGGAGGCGCGAGGGCCAGCCTTACTTGCTGATAAGTGGCACTGCCTGGGAGGTCTCGGGCACCTTCTTGGCCACAAGGAAGAGGAAGACAGTCTGGGCCAGGAGCACGTTGATGGCGACGGTACACTTTTGGCCGCCCGCTGCCCATAACCAAGAGCCCTTCAGAGCAGATCTCAAGTTCCCTGCCATGGGGACCTCCCCTGCCCCACAAGGAGCCCAGTGCCCCTGGTCCCCGGGAACAGGTGGTCTCGTGTGTGATGCCCCAACGCCGTGCCCTCCCCGCTGGTCCCCGAGCTGCCAGCTGGGGCCATGGCCCCCCCTCCCCTAGGCTACAGCTACCCTTGGCAGGAAGGAAGTAGATGAGGATGGCAACCGAGGAGATGAGCACACAGGGTGCGATGATGTTGATGACATAGAAGAGGGGCTTGCGCTGGATGAGCACGTAGAAGACCACCTTCTGGTGGCCCGCCTCCTCGGCCGGCGCGGCCACGTCCAGCAGCATCTTGGCGGGCCGGTGCCGGATGGCCCACTCCCCGTTCTCTGCGGGCAGCAGGCCAGGGTGGGCACAGGGAGGGCAGGCCGGGCGGATCCCCACAGCCCCAGCGACCTAGCTACGGGGCGGCCAGCATGCGCCCAAAGAGCGCCATCGGGGGAGACTGGATGCCTGACCCCCTCCCACCCAAACTGGAGACATTATCATGGGGAAGTGAGAACTTTGCTGGGCCCTTAAAAATACACTTTTTAATGATTTACCGCAGTGCTCACCTTGAGTGACATGGGGCAGGGGGGTACGATCTTAGTCTGGCCGTGCCCTGGGGGCCAGGTCCAGCAGGGGTCCTG